CGGGCCTGAGGAGAGGGGGATAGAGACACGGTACATTGTTCCAGGGCCTATGGAGGTCAAAGGGAGCTCATGAAGGGGATTTTTTTCAAAAAAGTTTACAAAACCAAATTTTTAAAAAGAAAAACAATATTGGATATATACTTCATACTCTATACTTTGTGTGTATAGCAAAACCACCTTGCAGCCTTTTTTGATATAACCTTTATTAATCTAAAACTCAGAGAACAGTTATTTATGTAGTTTATTGAATTTTAATTTCATTACTTATTAATTTAAGTTTGCAAATTTAGTTTCATTTTGTTTATGAATATATTTTATATTTCATTTCAGTTTATAAATGGTTATGAAATGTCATCTCAAAAATCTGAAGCTCAAAAATGCAGGGCAAAACAGAAACGTGTCCATGTCTAGGTATGGGGGCCCATATTCGCCTTGTTCCAGCAATTTATAATCATCTTGGTGGCCCTGATTGTACCTCCAGTGCTACTATAAGTGTAGCCCTAAGCCAAACACTGGTCACTTGGGAAAGAAAATGTTCAAAGTTGTGAATGTTCTTATTAATGTTACAATTGTTTAACTTTTAATTTCTATATAAATCTCATAGATTTTATAGACTTTTATCATTGTGGCTGCAAAAAGATTGGCATCAGTACATTCAATATGTCATATGAGCAGAGTCTTCTGAATTTAATATTGCAATTTGGGTCTTGCTATGCTCGGTTAATCCAATTTGTAATTTTGTTATGTAGTGTACTTTAATGTTCCTGAATATCAAAATTACACTCTTCAAATAAAATCCACAGGTTTGGATTAAGCTTTGCCAAAGTAGACCTGTGGGTCTACCCCTAACTATGATTATGCCTGGATCCAATCCACACTATAGGCTCTTCAATCATCTGAAATGCCAGCTATTATGCAAGTATATGCTTGTTACTGAAATAGCAAATGAAATAGACTGAATCTAGACTATAATTATTTGGATGTTAATGCTGTGTTCTGTGTAACCAGTTTTATTTAGGGTCTAATCGTATACCTGCAATATAAATGAAATAAAACAGTGAAAATGTGTCTCATTTGACTTATCTCAAAAATTAAGAGTACGTTCCTTGGAGTAGTAACTATGCACCAAGGAGTAATTTTGTCAGCAAACCCACATTGATATGCTCCTTTGTCTTCACACTTGAAACTGAAAGATAATTTCTCAGAAGAAAAAGTTGGTAGCTATTCCTGTTGCAAAAACTAATTTGGTCATGTATATTATTATTCAGGTACTATGCTCTGAACGTTTTTGAATATTCCCTGTTTGCACATAGTTCTAGTACATTTTAAAATACTATTTATTTTTTCAATATTTAAAAGCCAAGTTCTTCAAGAATTTGTAGATCTTGTGTATATACAAGATATACACAATCCTATCTTCTAAAGAATCAGAATAGAGCTGGAAGGAACTTTGGAGGTCTTCTAGTCCAGACCCCCGCTCAAGCAGGAGATCCTACACCATTTTAGACAAGTGACTATCCAGTCTCTTCTTAAAAATCTCCAGTGATGAAGCATGCACAACATCTGAAGGCAAGCTGTTCCACTGGTTAATTGTTCTGTTAGCAAGTTTATCCTTAATTTCAGGTTGCTTCTCTCCTTGATTAGTTTCCATTCATTGTTTCTTGTCCTGCCATCTGGTGCTTTGGAAAATAAATTGACACCCTCCTATTTGTGAAACCTTTCAAATACTGGAATACTGCTATCATGTCCTCACTAGCCCTTCTTTTCTCTAGATTAGCCAAACCTAAATCCTGCAACCGTTCTTCATATGTTTTAGTCTACAGGTCTTTAATCAGTGATGGGTTTCAATTTTTTTTGTTCTGTAGATGTGGCCTGTTTTGTGGGAGTGGCTTGATGGTCATGTGACCAGGTGGGCATGGCCAACTGGGAAAATGTGGTGAAATTCACTTAACGACGCTCTTGCTTAGCAACCAAAATTTTTGGGTTCAATTGAGGTAATAAATTCTCTTTCTTTTTCTTTTTCTTTTTCTTTCATTTCTCCCACTTTCTCTTTCTTTCTTCCTTTCTTTCTCTCTTTTTCTCTTTCTGTCTCTCTCTGTCTCTGTCTCTGTCTCTCTCTCTCTCTCTCTGTGTGTCTGTCTGTCTCTCTGTGTGGCTCTTTGTCTCCCTCCCTCCCTCTCTGTCTCTGTCATTCTCTCTCTCTGTCTGTCTGTCTGTCTGTCTGTCTCTCTCTGTATCTCTTTGTCTCCTCCCTCCTCCCATCTGTCACTCTGTGTGTGTGTGTGTGTGTCTGACTGTCCGTCTGAAACATGAGGGGGACCCCTCCCCTGTGGATGGGCTCTGGACCCCACACATCTTTCATAGCCGCCTCGTTTCCAATTAGGGGGATCCATGCGGAGGATTTCTCCCTCCCCAAATTGGAAATGAGGTGGCTGTCAAAGACAAGGAAGCCTGCCCTGCAGAAGAAGGAACAGGAGGGGAATTCGCGCCAGCTGCTGGACAAGTGATCACCTGGCTAGTCTCGCTGCCCTGGCCAAGTGGCAGCCGCCACCACTTACCTTGAAGGTGATGTCGTGGAACTGCTGAGGGAGGGCCAGCTGAACAGCGCCCTTCCTTGGCTGTTCCTTCCTGGGCTGTGCCCGCACCCATGCCTGGCCTGCTTGATGAAGCATTGCTGGACATTGGACAGGGTGGAGGAGGGCATGGCATTTCCGCCCTTGCCCTTGGGGCTGTTCTTGCGGGACATGCTGGCTGGCACTGCTTCAGGGAACCCTGGCCACTGGCTCCTCCACACACAGCCTGGCTCCCAGTGCCGCCAACATCCCATGTCCCTGTGCTTGGCAGCATGGTTGGTCTTTTGGGGGGGGGGGGGGGGAAATCCCAAGAACCAGGTTGCCCAGCATCCTGAAGAGGTCTGCGTGTTGCTGTAGTGGTTGATAAGCATGGCATGAGGGGCAATGCATCTCCAGCAGCCCTCGCTAGGGTTTCCCCCTTCCTTCGCCCAGCCCTCCTTTGCTTAGGCTTCTTCATCAAGAAGCAGCTTTGCGAGCTAATGTGCTTGGATTTCTGGATGTCTATTGCAGTCGAGAGGAGCCGAGGAGAGCGCCAAGGTTCTCGGTGCTCGGGGAAGCTGTGAAAGTGGCTGGGAGAGGCGTGCGGCTTGGTTTAGCCTCCCTGGATGTCGCAGCAACCCCAAGCGCGCTGATCTCAGCATGTGCTGTAACAGGGAGTGAGTGAAGACCTTTTCTGGCCGGGTCAAAGGACTTCCTTGGAATTGCCTTGCTGAGCATGAGGCGATGGGCCCACACCTCCACCACTGGCAATCCGGAAAAGGTCTTTGCTCACTCCCTGTTGCAATATGAGATTGGCGCACTGAGATTGGCGCACTTGGGGCTGCTGCTGCAGAGTCCAGGGAGGCTAAACCAAGGTGCACGCCTCTCCCGGCTGAAGAACCTTCACACTCTTCTCCGCTCTCTCCTTGGCTCCTCGCAACTGCAATAGATCTCCAGAAGTGGCGGGGGCTGTCGGGTTGGAAACCTAACCCCCATTAGCTCCAAAAGCCGCTGCTCCAGCAAAGAGATTACTTACCCCCTCGACAGGCAGCAATAGAGAGCTCCCTATAGGGCTCTTAGAGCCATGGTCCATATGGGCGGGGTGAGTGATTGGACGAGCGGTGACCAGATGGGTGGGGCCTGGAGGTAAGCGAGTGAGGGGGCGTTCCACCACTGAAACCGGTTCTAAATGGCACGCTAGATTTGTGGAACTTCTTCTAGTGAACTGGTTAGAACCCACCCCTGCCTTTAATCATTTTAGTTGTTCTTCTTTGTACTTTTTCCAAAGTCTCAGCATCTTTTTTGTAATGTGGTGACCAAAAATGGATGTACTATTCCAGAATGGTTTTACTAAGGCTTTAAAAGTGGTACTAATATTTCATGTGATTTTGATTCTATGCCTCTGTATATACAATCAGGATTGTATTAGCTTTTTTGGCTGCTGCCGCACACTGTTGCCTCATGTTTAAGTCATCATCTACTAGGATTCCAAAGTCCCTCTCAGTTATGTTTTTAGCCAGGTTTCACCTAATCTGTACTTTGGTTTCTCCTGCCCTGGTGTAAAACCTTGCTTTTCTCCACATTAAGTTTCATTTTGTTGGATAGGATGCATTAAAAAGAAAAATAAGCTTCCATAAACATTTTATAGCATTTTGTAAGCTGAAATTTATAAATCGTCTAGGAGAGTTAAAAAGATGTTTTCCTACAATGCATAGTATTTTAAGATGGGTACTAAATTGAGCGGATAGGGTGATCTAACAGACAATCTCACATTCATACAGTGTTTTTCTGAAAATATGACATATCCTGAAACTAAGGCTATGCCACATTTTTCGGGTGGGAAAAATATAAGCCCCTGCTGAAAATAAGCCCCCTGGACAATCCCCCCCTTCTGGCCAGGCAGAGCACCACTTGCTGACCTAGCGGTATCCCAAAGGTGCCAAGCCATGGAAACAAGTGGGGGGCAAAGGTGCTTGTGTTGCTTAGCGCCTTCGGGATACCACTAGGTCGGTCAGTGGTGCTGTGCCCAGATGGAGAGGGGGGTTGCCAGGCGGCTGCTTCTTGCAAGTGGGCTCCCGAAGAGCTGGGCACAGCTTCAGGGTCGAACGGCTGTGTTGCGCTGTCGCAGCAGCAACACAGCAGTCATGAGGTGACCACGCTAATGAGCAGCTGCCCGGCAACCTCCCTTTCCATTCACTGACTGACTTAGGGGTATCTCCAAGCTGCAGGAGCACCTGTTCACCATCCTCCGGCTCCTGCGGCTCGGTGCTTCAGAATGCCCCTAGGTCAGTGAATGGGACTCTGCATGGCTGGAGAGGGGGGGGTGTTGCATGAGCGGCTTTTCCGCTCCCAGCTCACGCGACTCCCAGGTTCACTATGCCCTTGCCTAACTCTCCCTGCAGAGCCAGGGCATCTCTGCTGTCACCGCCGCATGGGCTTTTTCTGCAGCTTCCAAAGCACGGAGATAAGATGCTGAGTCTTCCGGCAGTTGCCGTTCTGGGAGTACACTCTATGATTGTACGTTCTGGGAATATGCTCTGCCGGCAGCAAGCCCACAACCATAGAGGGTACTCCCAGGCTCATGGGAGCTGGAGGGCGATGAACAAGCGCTACTGCAGCTTGGCGATACCCCTAGGTCAGTGAATGGCGCTGTGTCTGGCTGGAAAGGGGGGTTGCCGGGTAGTTGCTCTTGAGCGTGGTCACTTCATGACTGCTGTGTTGCTTCAGCAGTGCAACACAGTTATTCAACCCTGAGACCCTGGCTCTTCGGGAGCCCGCTTGCGAATTGCAGCCTTCCAGCAACCCAAAACAATAAGCCCTCCCCTGATAATAAGGCCCAAGCTATATTTTGTGGTCAAAAGAAAATAAGACCCTGTCTCTGTGGCTGCTCCGGCCTCTGGAACAATCTCCCCATGGAGATCCGGACCCTCACCACCCTTCCGGCTTTCCGCAAAGCCACTAAGACCTGGCTGTTCCGGCAGGCCTGGGGCTGATGAGTTCCTGGCCCCACTTAAACTGTTGCGACTGTTGCTCTGTTTTAACTTGCCTGTTTTTGTTTTTGTTTGTATTCCCCTTCCCCCCTGCTTGTTAGCTGCCCTGAGTCTCTCGGGAATAGGGCGGCATACAAATGGAATAAACATTTCAAACATTTCAAACATTTCAAACATTATTTTCGGGGAAACACGGTACTTAAATATTGAAATAGACTTGGGAGCTTCCTTAACTTTATAACTTCCAGATGTGATGGGAATGCAACTCCAAAAGTCATCAGCTGTAGTTAAATGTAAACTTTTTAGCAGGCTTCATTTCATCTCCCATTAAAACTGTTTTGCCTGAATAGACACAGTAATGTAGGTGGATGGGATCAAATCTGTATCCAGGCAGATCATTCAATCAACTTCAAGCAAAAGAAGTACTGTAGAAAATAACAAAATAAGCCAAGGCAACTTTTTAAGAAAGTAAGATTACAAAATACAACCTCTTTAATAATAAACATAATGATCTGTTGATATGATCCTAATATACCGCTGGCCTTCCTTGGTGTAGCAGAATGTCCCAATCACCAGAAGCAAAGCATGGTCAAACAATCCATTATTGTATTGTTCTTTAGAGCAGATTGAAAAATACTGATTTCCTTCATCATCAACTAGGGCTTTCCCACCTTTCATTTTCCACATGAATAATAGTCCTCATCTTATAACCATTTGTTTAGCAGACAGGTGGCTTCAGGCCAAGATAGGGAAGCCTCCAGGCCCCAGAAGGCCCCAGATTATCAACCTGGTAGAGCCCAAAGGCAGATTGTTGCTGTAGCTCAAGTTCTTTGAGCTGATCCACCTGAGTCCCCAGGGAGTCAGGGGCCTGATCCATCTTAACCCCCTCTGTCTTCCTGCAGGGGAGATCTTCAAGGCTTGTCCCCAGACAGATCCTTTGGGGACTCCAGGCCCCATTGTCCTTACCTTGGGGAAGGAGCAAATCTTTTTGGCTATGATGTTACGGAGGACAGGGATTCCCCTTCCCCTTCTCTTCCAGTGCTCCATAGGACCATCTTCTTCTGCTGTCACCAGGGCAGGGATCCACCTGGTGGAAGACCAGGGCCCATCCTTGTCAGCAGAGATGCGGGAGGTAATTGCCATGGCAATCTCCCAAGGAATCGCACAGGGAATGAAAGAACAATAGGTCAGCCAAGGGGCATAGAAGCAAGTCCAGAGCATGTGGCTGTGCTTCACCTCCTCCCTCAGTGGCTAGCTCTGGCTCTATCTCGGAGGAGGAGGACCTGGCGGAACCTGACCTGTATGAAGATGAAGGATTGGTTCCAGACAAACCTGCCTTTGCCGGCTTATTCAAATCTATTATGCATAAGGCTAAGGTGATCACTCACCAAGAAGTTTCCCCACTAGCTGACCAGGGGATCACCGATCCCTCTGATCCCAGTGCGGGGCTGTTTGATGAAAACATTCAGACCCAGGATTTGGTCCCAGACCCTAAATTTTTCAAGGATGTAGTGCAGCACCAGTGGGTGCAGCCAGATACCTGGGATACCCCAGGGGGCAATGACAAGTGGCTTTATGCCATTGAACCCAGCCTGGGGGATCTTCTCAAGCTACCTGTGATAGATGTCCCTGTTCTTACCTCCACGTCTGTTCTCCCACCTGAGCTGTTGGAGGGCCTTAAGGTGGAGGATAAGCGAGCAGAGACTGCCTGCCACAAGACCCACCAGACTGTGGCATGGGCTATCAGGGCTTCCACTTTGGCTTCCTTTTTTAGCAGGGCCTCCATTGCCTGGCTTCACCAGCTTCTCACTCTTTTGCCTCCAGGGGACGCCATGCTGCATCAAGATGTTAACAAAATAATGGCCGCAGCCAAGTATACCACAGATGCGTCCCTCAATGCGGCGAAATTCACATCCAGGGCCTAATGTTATCTCTTGCCAGCTCCTGTGGTTTTGCCATTGGAATGCGGACATGAGGTTCAAATGGAAGCTGGCCTCCACTCCTTTTAAGGGGATAAAGCTATTTGGGAAATTCTTAGACCCAATTTTAATTAAGAATAAGGATAAAAAAAGATGATGCCTTTGGTCTCCCGCAAACCTGATCATAGGTCCCCTTTCACAAACAATCCTTTCGAGCATCAGATTCACAAGCCACTTCCTCCTCCTTCCAGTGTCCCTACTTATAGGGTTCAGACCAGGCACAGGATAGACAACCATTTTGAGACATGGGTCGTTACCAACCCTTCCACAGGTGGCCATTTCAAGGCAGTTTGGCTAACAGGCTCTACTGCTGCAACAAATGACCACCAGACAGACCCTCCCATAGGAGGTTGGCTACAACTGTTTGCCGACCGTTGGGAGGTGATAACATTGGATGTGTGGGTGTTGCAAACAGTGAGGCTGGATCTCACCTTAGAGTTCCTTTCCTCTCCTCCCCGTCACTTTGTTTCCCTACCCCTAGGTGTGCCACCAAACGAGGCCTCATGGAGGCAGAAATTCAACATCTGTGGGAAATAAGGGCCATAGAACCGATTTCTCCAGGTCAGGAGAGAAGGGATTTTTATTCCATCCTCTTTCTAGTTCCAAAGAGCTTAGGAGGCTGAAGGGGGCATTTTGGATTTAAAAAACCTCAACTACCATCTGGCCTACAAAAAGTTCAAAATGCAATCCCTCCAGTCAATCCTGGGCTGCATTCGACCAGGAGACTTTCTGACTTCCATCAATTTGAAGGAGGTTTACTTCTACATCCCAATCAGCTGGCCCATGGGCAATTTCTGCAGTTTTACTGGACTCTATTACCAGTACCATGCCTTACCCTTTGGCCTGTCATCAGCCCCCAGGACCTTCACAAAGATCCTGGCCGCAGTGGCGACACACCTCTGGATGCGCCCCATTCACCTCCAGTGTTATCTTGACAACATCTTGATACAATCGTCATTACCAGTGCAGGCATGGCACAACCTTCAAGTGAACATGGACACCTTGTGACATAATGGGTTTTCCAGCAATCTCAAAAAAAACCATCTGTCACCTTTCATGAACATCCTTCATCTGGGGGTGGTGATTGACACATCGTCTTGCCTCATATCCCTGTCCTCAGAGTGAATCTGCAGCCTTCAAGTTCTTGTACAGTGGGTTCGGTGGTCACAGTCTGTTCCAGTGCTCCTGTTGTCATAATTACTGGACAAAATGATTTTGTGCCTAGCAATCGTCCCGTGGGCAAGACTGCATGCAAGAAAGTTGCAGTGGTTCCTCCTCCCGTTGCAGAAGGCCAATGCCAGCAACTCCAAGGTTAAGGTATGTCTGTCGCTGAAGGTCCTTCATTCCTTCAGAGGGTGGCAGACCATGACATTGACACAGGGGTCCCTGTTTTGAGATCCTGACCATGTGATCATCACGTCAGATGCCAGCCTCTTCGGATGGGGGACCCACCTTTGCAGCAAGCAGGGCAGGTGGTTCACCCATGAGTTACCCAACAACATCAACTGGTTGGAGCTGAGGGCACTTCACCTTGCACTATGCTGGTTCCAATCAGAGGTGCAGGGTTGCTACATCCTAGTCGTGATGGATGTGGTGATAAAGGTGCACATCAACCCCCAGGGGGGCACCAGATCCAGCTCACTCATGACAAAGGCGGAAGCACTCAGAAGGTGGGCAGAGTGCCACGTGGCTTCTATAAAGGCAGAGCACATCTCCAGCGTAGACAATGTCCAAGTGGATTGGCTGAGCCGGACCACTCTGGACCAATCAGAGTGGCACCTGTTTCAACAACTATCACAGAGGTCCAGCCAGCCCCTACTCAACCCTTTTGCCACACCAGAGAATTCTCAACTGCCTCACTAGATATCACTCTCCTCAAGTGGAGAGGGTGGATGCCTCAACAGCTGCTGGCATCTGGGCCTTCTCTACACTTTCCTCCTTTGCCGCGGATTCCTCGAGTCATTAGGAAGATACTTGTGGAACGGGTGAAGGTTCTTCTAGTTACACCTCATTGGCCGAGAAGGACCTGGTTCGCCGACCTGACCAGCCTCTCCATCTCTCAACCCTGGATAATCTTGCAGGAGTTGGTCTCTCTCATTCTCCATCCGGAGACGCAGTGGCTCCAGCTGACCATCTGGCACTTGAGGGAGACCTCCTGACTCAGGCTAAGTTCTCCAGCCAGGTCATCCACACCATCCAGGTGAACAGGCGGCCTTCCACTACCAGAATCTACAGCACCATATGGGCCACCTTTGCCCATTGGTGCACTCACCGCAACCAGGACCCTGTTACATTGTGCCTCCCACAGAGTTTGAATTTTCTCCCAAGATTGTTTCGATCAAGAGCTCGCTCCAAACACCCTAAGACAGCAGGTCATGGCTTTGTCCACCATCTTGTCAATGGCTCTCACCAACAGCTCAGCTGTCATATGAGCATATGTAGGGAGCTTCGAACTTCCGCCTCAGGTGGTGCATCGTTACCCATCCTGGGAGCTTTCCGTTGTTCTCAGAGCCCTTCTGAGCCTCCATTCAAACCTCATAGAACTTGATCCATCTGAAATTTGTCGCTTAAGACTTCCTTTCTCTTTGCCATTACATTGGCTAGAAGAATTTTGCAGTTAGTGGCCTTGTCGGTTAAGGAGGACTTGTGTCTGATTCATAGTGACAGGGTGGTCCTTCAAATGGATCCTTCATTTGTGCCAAAAATTAATTTGCTCTTCCACAGAGCCCAGAAGATAGTTCTGCTGGACTTTTGTCTCGTACCTAGTCATCCTCGGGAGCTCCAGTGGCATATCTCGATGTGCGCAGAGCACTGAAGAGATGCATCAAGTGGACAGCTTCCTTCCATCGCTCACAGGTTCTCTTTGTATCATTCCAGCTATGGCCATGGGGCACAAGGTTTCCTCTTCCACCATAGAGCACTGGCTCAAAGCTTGTATTTTGCTCGACTATGAACACCAGGAAAGACTGGCGCAGCCCAGATTGACCGTGCAATCAACCAGAAGCGCAGCCACGACTGCAGCCTGGGTGACCCAGGCTTTAGTTGAGGATATTTGCAAGGCTGCGACCTAGACATCGCCTTCCTTGTTTGTCAGGCATTATAAATTGGACAAATATGCCTCTGCAGATGCGGCCCTTGGAAGACGGATCTTGCAGACTATTCTTTCTAGTGACAATTGAGTTCAGGGTTCAGGGTTCGAAATTGACCCACCCTAGTGACATTTAGCTAGGGTATGTCCCATGCTTGGACACTCCTCACAGTGCACAGAAGAATGACCATTGGCTTACTTGAAGGGTCGTTCTCTGTGCACTGCGAGGAGTGTCCAACCCCATCCTGGGGTACTAACTTCCAGGCTAGACTGTTTCCTTATCCATTGGAGGATTTGCATCCATGTGAACCTGAGTTCTGATGGGACCATGCCTTCATTGAAAAACTGAAGCTACAGAAAGCCAGGAGGCCTGGCCAAAAATTTCAATCCAGTCCTTGGGCAGTGTGCAGAATTTAACCCATGCTTGGACATTTAGCATTTATATTGCTTTCAGTAAAAAGGAAAACTAATCTCCACAATTTTATGTAACATTTATGGTTAGGGAAAGCTCAGAACTGTGGCAACTTATAAACTGTGTGACTGATTTATATTTCTTTCCAATTTGGTAGCCTTTATTATTATTTTTCCCCATCTTGGCACTATTTTCTGGATTTAGCACTTGGCACTATTTTCTGGATTTAGCACTCAGTACCTTTTATAATACAGTTTATGATCCAGAGACTCATTTCACTGAAGGTACTTAGATGTGAAATATGACAGCAACCTTGCCACCCATATCTGCAGACCAGAGTGGGAATGATCCATCCATCCATCCATCCATCCATCCATCCATCCATCCATCCATCCATCCATCCATCCATATCTCATTCACTTTCCCTTCCCTCTTTCTTTCCCTCTTCCCTCCCTCCCTCCCTCCCTCCCTCTTTCTCTTTCTTTCTCCTTTCCCACCCTCTTTCTTTCGTCTCCCTTATCTCTCTCTCTCTCTCTCTCTCCCCTTTCCCTTTCTCTCTCTCTCTCTCTCTCTCTCCCCTTTCCCTTTGAATGAAACCAGCATACTTACCACCACTCTCTGATTCCTGCTCTTCCCTTCTCATTCTTTATCAGGAAGGCAGAGCAGGTACAGGAGAGCTTCCACCCCACCCCCTCTCCTTCCTTCTCCTAACAAGTGTTTGGTTTCTTAAAGCCATTTGGCACTAGCCTCTCCCCCAAACCCCACCACTACTATGATCAATCACACCATGGCTTCTGGCTGCCAGTATTGGCAGCTAGCCAATTGGTTGGTGGATAACTGTCCTCGGAGTGAAGAGCCCAGGATGAACCCTGCTTTGGCGAATGGGCCATGCCAAAGCGTTTCAGACACAGATGCTGTGGCCCATTGGCCAGGGTGAATTGGGAACATGTCAGCCGAGGAGAAAAGCTAGAGAAGAATCCCCCCCAGGAGAAATCCTGGCGGCAGAGGCGCAGCCATGGGTAGCAGGCAAAAAGTCCTAGACTCCTGCAGACAGGCAACTTGCTCTCTGATTCAACCTTGTTGATTGCCCTTAGCTACATCAGATTCCCAGGATTAATCTATATAGAAAGGCACTGGCATTGCTAACATTAGGAATGTCAGTTTTATTGCTACAGAAACTAGTAACATAACTGCCTGCTGCTTGCTAGCTCCAGGTGTTACTTATGATTGCATGTGAAATATTTTCAGCAAAGAGATGTAGGCCATATCTGGAGCAGCCACAAATGAGGGCTGTTTTTTTTCTCACCTCACAGAGTCAAAGGATTGATAAACTCTTTCAAAATAAAGGATACCATTTCCTTTGAGTGGAATTAAGAAGAGTCTTTAAAAGTGCTTTTTAAAAATTTCCTTAGATGTGCACATTTAATGGATGTTATTAGCCTCCAA